GAAAAGTATTGATATGGACGAACTTCCTAAGGGCTCTGCCCCACAGGCTGATTTCCAAAGGGCTACGCCTGGCATGCTTCCAAAGTTTACATGATTTAATTTAATTTAGTTAATGAAACAGCTGGTCAGTATAATAAATTGGTGTTTGTTTATTTACTCGAAAAAGATGTTTGTGACGCTTAATGTAGACTTAGGAGGGTTATGTTTGATTTTAAAGAAAGGTTGTATACGTTTTGTAAAGTATTGCTCAAAGTTTCATTTTGTAATTTATATAGTAAGCTACATGTAAAGAGGCTTGACTAAAGTTGAAGAATAAATTATGGTAAAACATGTCATTCGTGAAGCATCAATATGAAGCAGTTTATGTTATTGCTACACTAAGGTAGGTTGTCATACATTTTGTATCTATTAACATAAAAAGTAGGGGTTTGTTGAAAGTAAGTAGGTTTACACTTTTAAATCGTTTTATATTTTCAAACTAAATCACAGAGTTGTCGTGTTTTAAACCACACATCAGAATCACTTTAATAGCTCTCTAGGTCACATTTTCTTCCCGTTGCAAAGCACGGGTATAGCAGCTTGTATTTATCATATTATAGTAAAGTACAAAAATTAGAACTAACTTTGAATAACTAATTTTTGTTTTTGGAAAAACTAAAATTTTGTTTTTCAAGTCATATAAAGCTTTATACCATAGCTATAAATAAACTATAACTTTGTACAATATGACATTATTCTGAATAAATGTATTGTTACCTTTAGTAATATAGCAACTTTTGTGTATAAATTGTATACTTCTGATTATTTTTATGTTTCAAATATTCAGCGCAAATTTGTTGATTTTCCCCAATTTCCGTATTTTCCCCTGTAATTCTGGTAAACAAATTATTTAAAACAAATTAATAACATTTCCACGTAGGGAAATAAATTGCCTACATTTCATATAGGTATCTTAGATTGCCTGTACAAAATTTGGTGTAAAAATGCTAGGCTCTGCTTTTGAAAGTTATTTAGAAAATTTGAACTTTTGTTTATATTTTCACATTTTGCAAAAAAATACAAACTGGGATTCCTAAAATTTTATTTTATTCAAAATCTCCTATCTTTTTTGAACAAAGCAAGTATGAATATGATTAAGTTATCAACAGTACTTTAGGCACTGTGAACTGTTTAAAAAACCTCTGCAAAATAGCTAAAATTACCAGGGCACCGAGTAATTTTGCATTTAACAGGCCTAGGGTAAAAAAAAAATTTAAAAAGCAGTACAGGAAAATTAATTTAGCACTGACTTGGAGACCATTAAAAAATTGAATTAAATAATTTTTGTAGTAAATGCTTTTAAAATAAATAAGTCACACTTCGAGTTGCACAATTGTAGGCTAGTGAAAACAAATGTGCAGTATCAGGGCGTCCAGCCAACCTGGAAACCGGGAATCACGTGAATTTTGTTAGCAACTTTATTATTATTTTCTTGGCACTGTTTTTCAATCTAAAACTGCAGAGGCCTATTGTAATCTTGTATTACTCAATGGTGAATAAACTTCTTGATTCTTAGGAACCTGGATATTTGAATTTTCGAATAATCGCTGAAAAAAACGTCTGAAGATGTTGATTATTTGTGTTTTGCATAATTAGAAATGTTGATTGCGGAAAACTATCACGGATGTTACGCGATCGTGAGAAATGATCACGGAAGTTGCCGCTATGGTGACAAGTCACCATTAGGATATTGGAACGTTTACGTTTAGGGTGTAATAATTAAAATAACAACTACATTTGGGAGTGAAATAAAACCCGGCCAATTACATGGTTACGGTTTGCTGGAATCTTCAGGACTCGAGAGCAAGGAAACTTTTGGATCGGAGGTTGATACATGGAGGGAAAAGTGGCGTGATGGGTTGTAGCCACAGTCACCTGATCGTAGTCAGGCTACAAATGCAAAACATATTGCAAACTGTTTTATTACACAAATATAAATATCCTAAAAATGGCAACATTATGGTACATTATTGTATACACTACATTTCCTCCCTTTAAGTTTAAAATTAATTTTTCTTATATATTTATCAACACATCAAACCAATTAAATAATCCAATAAAACCTGAAACAAAATAATTTTCTTACAAAACAATAAACATTGAAAACAATCAACCTTGATAAAATTGGAAACAAAACGCAAAAATAATATTTTCAAATTCAACCTTTCAGGAGGTTTTTTTTCTCTGGCAGATCGCCTCAATTGTGCCAATTGTTTGGGTCGATCAGCTGATCGTACAGGTGATGGAAAGGTCACGTCCGGTGGAGTAAGCGATGAGCGCTTACAGATACTACTATGTTTACTATGTCCTGGAGTACGAGGTGTACTCGGCATTTCCAGTCTCATGGGTGAAGCCCGACCATCTGACTGAGCGTTGTTACGCACATCCTGGTCAAACATGTGTTCAGCCGGAGGCAACATTACCTCTCTAGCAATGTCATTCTGTTGATCATTCAAATTTACCTTAATTTTTAACCCGACCAGCTGGTCAATATGACATTTCCATACAATACCTGAGTCTAATTTTACTAAATAAGAAACAGGACTTAACACTTTAATCACTACACCTTGTGTATGTTTATTTCTTCCCCTGTAATCACAGACTAAAACCGGCTGTCCTATTGACAGCTCTCTAGTTTGACTGCCCCCTTTGTTTACGACTTGTTTGTTTTGGTTTAGTTTAGCTGGAGTTTCATTGGTTTTTTTAATGTTTTATGTACTGCATTTCGATATGCTAACAAAAATCTACTTAAAGCTAAGTCTGGATTTTCATAGAAAACAAAGCCTCTCTTATTCTTTTCTTTACTGATTTACAGCATTTTCCGCTTGGCCATTACTAGCGGGAAAATAAGGTGGTGTAAGTGTATGCCTAACCCCATTAGCTTTCAAAAACTGGCTAAACTCACAGGATGTAAAAGGAGGGCCATTGTCTGTGACACACTGTTCCGGGATTCCAAACCTTGCGAACATAGGTCTCAATTTATTTATAACCACTTTGGCAGATGTGGATCTGACCTCCTCTACTTCTACCCATTTACTATAAGCATCAACTACAACCATATACAACTTTGAGTTAATAGGGCCTAGAAAATCTATGTGTAACTGTTGCCACGCGGATTTTGGGTATTCCCATCCATGTAAATATGACCTTGACGGGTTTTGACGTTCCATGAGACACTGCGAGCAACTATTGGCAAGTTCTTCTATGTCTTTATCTATTGAAGGCACCACAGATAAGAACAGGCTAGAGCCTTCATTTTGACTATCCCTAGATGTCCACAATGCAATTCTTGTAACAGTACCATTTTGTTCATTTTTGGAATGACAACCTGATAACCCCACATTAATATACAATGCTCAATAGTTAGTTTGCTCGGCCTTATGAAATAAGGTCTTAATTCTTTGTTTACCTCATTAGGCCAGCCGTACAAGACATAGCCAGATACCTTATTTAACTCAGTGTCTTTTTGGTTTTCCCTCTTAATATCAACAAAATTTATTGTAATATCTCCCTCCGCTAAAAATTGCAAATTGGTTCCTACATAAGGATTTTCCTCATACTGTTCGTTAACATGTCCAGCTTGTTAAGGTAAGCGAGATAAACAATCTGCAGACACATTTCACTGAGAGGAAACATATTGTATGTCAAAATCATAACTGGCTAAAAATAAAGCATACCTTTGTAATCTGCTAGCGGCAAAAGCCGGAAGTCCCTTTTTAGGGCCAAAAATTGACAACAATGGTTTGTGGTCTGTTGAGAGTTTGAATTTTCTACTAAACAAATACTGATTAAATATTTTAACCGCAAAAACATTAGCTAAAGCTTTTTTGTCTATTACAGAGTAGTTTGATTCAGATTTTGACAATGTTCTTCATGCAAAACAAAAGATTCAAGATTCAAAAATTCTTTATTCACACAGTACAAATTTTTATTTATGAATAGTGTCTAGTCTATTGTTACTTTCTACTTAAATTAGCAATATGAAACAGTTAAACATTACAAAATATTGGCTACATTATTTAAAATTGAAATTAATTAAATCTTCTCTTCTGTAAGGTGCCAGGTCAAGTAAGAATGTCTTCAGTTTTTTCATAAATTTTTATTTGTCCTTTTCGTTTTTTATTAAAACTAGGAAGTTTAAAAAAAATAGTTTCCAATATAAGAAGGTTTATTTTTAAAAAGTTCAAGTCTTGGTTGTTCTTTAACTAAATAATTTTTACCCCTTGTATTATAATTATGCACAGGTAATTCTTGAGTCTCAGCAATAATAAAAAAATATTTAATTGTTTCAAAAATATATATACGACGTTAGTAACCTTAAAACACCAAATCAAAGAGAGCGATAGAGAGAGAGAGAGGGAGGGAGGGAGGAACATTGAGACATAAGTCACATCCGCCAAGACTCGAGACGGAGATCAAATCAAATCAATCTTTATTTTAACAAGTAATAATGCGGCATTAAAATATATAATATACAAAAATTATCACTGTGTGTGATAATAGTTCAACACTGGCTGCTCAATGGTTATCTTGGTTTTATTTTCACACATAAAAAAAAAATTCACTTCTTAGTCTAATAATAACATTATAAATCAAATATATCTATTAGATGGTTGTCAAGAGGGATGGTGCGGGGAGTGTACAGTCCAATCGAAAATTCATGCTGAAAATGTGATTTCTTAAACGTAATAAGATCCTAATATTAATTATAGTTTTTTTTATATTGATATTTTTAGTCTAAAAACAAATTTTTATAAAACAAAAGAATGATTTTACTGTATTTATATCGGTAGAAGCTTTGTATACAAACGTGTACCACCTTAGACGTTCCTGCATACCACCATTTGGGAACCGCTGATCTAGAGTATAGCAAATTAAAATTTTTATTATTCAGAAATATGATGACTTAGAAAATTTAAATTCATTGACCGAAAGAATGACATTCCCATGGTTTGTTCCAGTTGAATCTGGCTTCACAATCCGTGCTCGAGGGACTGAACGCTGTTCTTGATCACCGAGGAGAGTTATTCATTCCCGAGTTGAGTCGTTCGTTCACTATAGAGTCCACAAAGACAAGACTGTTTGCTTGTCAGAATCCCGTGAGACAAGGTGGAGCGAGACGAGGTCTACCGCAATCATTTCTGAACAGGTTTACTCAGGTAAATTATATTCTTTACTTTTAGTGAATTTCCAATATAGGGAGTAAGCCTGTTACCGTAGTTCTCATAGTAAGACCTGGACCTGGAACTCCTCAAACTCAAATATCAAACTCAAACTCAAAATTTAGGCATTTGATACTTTCGATCATGTTTTGCTCTTTGAAAAAACTTGAATCAGCAGGGATAAGAGGTGTACCACTTTCATGGTTTAGGTCATATCTTTCTGGGAGGAGGCAGCTAGTTAAAATTAAGAAGAGCAAAAGTAGTATCCAGAGTATTAACTTCAATTTAACAAATGTACTGTGTAAATTGTATTTATATTGTGTAGTAGAAGCCAATCTGTCCATATTGCATATTTAATCATGTCTCTTGCAGCTTTCATGTTTTAGTATGTAAACTAGTCACATGTTTCAAAGTTAGTCATTCATTTATTTTTAATAAATACTGTAAAACAATTGTAGGTTTTACTAGATCAAAAATTTGGGAAAAAGTTTCACATTAATCGAATTTATATTGTAATTTCTTTATTGAACTTCATCTTTAGTTTTATCAGTCTACATTGTAAAGCTGTTGCAAACTTTGTTCTTTCGTAAAAATATTTAAACTGAGATCACTTCCTAATTATATAAATAGGGAAGGGAGGAAAACAGGTCCGCGACGTAGGAAGTGGTGAAGGAAGTAGTCAAGGCGAGCTGTCCGGAGTGTGGGAACTGTTTATGACAATTAGATTAAAATATCTGCAATCCTAAACTGAGTAAAATGCTATGGGAAGGGAGGGAAACAGGTCCGTGACGTAGGAAGTGATGAAGGAAGTAGTAAAGGTGAGCAGTCTGGAGTGTGGGAACTGTTTATGACAATTAGATTAAGGTATCTACAATCCTTATATGCTATGGGAAGGGTGGGAAACAGGTCCACGACCTAGGAAGTGGTGAAGTAAATAGTAAAGGCGAGCACTCTGGAGTGAGGGAACTGTTTATGACGATTAGATTCATGTATCTGCAATACTGAAATGCTATGAAAAGGGAAGGAAACGTGTCCACGATATAGGAAATGGTGAAAGTAGTAGTAAAGGGTAGCAGTGCGGAGTCTAGGGAATGTTTGTGGCAATTATATTAATTTATCTAAAATACTAAAATAGTATGGAAAGAGATGAAAACAGGTCCACGACGTAGGAAGTGGCGTAGGAAGTTAAGTAGTAAAGTTTGGCATCGCAGAGTGTAGGAACCGTGTGTGGCAGTAAGATTAATGTACTTTCCATCCTAAAATGCTATGAGAAGGGAAGGAAACAGGTCCATGACGTAGGAAATGGTGAAAGAAGTAGTAAAGCCAGCAGTGCAGAGTGTGGGAACTGTCTGTGGCAATTATGTATCTGCAATTCTAAAATGGTATAGGGAAGGAGGGCAAACAGATCCACGACGTAGGGAGTGGTGAAGGAAGTAGTAAAGTTGAGCAGTGTGGAGTTTGGGAATGGATTAATCTATCTGCAATACTAAACTGCTTTCAGAGTAAACTAATGATTTTCCCGGAGCAAAGCTCGGTCCCCAGGTACTTAATATAAAGTTAATAGCTCTTTTTTCCTTCTAAATACCAAACTGTTGCATTCATTCATAACAAATCACCTGTAATACAAACATGTAGTTATTTTTTTCTGTCATAAAATAAACCTCATTGGTATCAAAATCCTAGATTTTTCCTCTCTTACATTTTAACTACACTGCGCAGTGCACACTAACATTTGCTTAAAATATGAAGATAAGAGAACAGTGAAGGTTTATATTTCAGTGCAAATTGTTTGTTATCTAGGTGTATATGGAGCCATTGACAGCAGAGGACCTCTGTTTTATCACTTTAACCCTCTTCCCCCACCTCCCCTTTCCCTTGGTAGAAGGGATGGTTCGATTCACCTTACGACTTGCACAGGTAACATTAAGAAGAAACATGTTCATTATCTTTTTAATTTAACCCTTTGAACTCCATATATTATTTCATTGTGGTGTGAGTAGCCTCCAGATTGCGAATAATAACTAGTGATAGTGGTTTAAATACCTTATTCTTGCAATCCGATTGTTGTCTTCACAACCAGTTTCACACTAGTTGTGAAGACAATAATCGGATTGCAAGAATCTATACTTATTTAATACGCAAACAGGTTTTTTGTGACAATTACTCCTCCGAAACTACTGAACCGATTGACATGTTTTTGGTGTCATTGAGGCCCTGGAGCCCTTTAAAGTTTCGCATTTCTCCATAAGGATAACATGGGAGATAGTCAAAGTCTACTACATAATAATTGCTGTGTATTATGACTCTTAATGTATACCTACTACATTTCAATCAAGGATTGTGTACCTTAAAGTTTACGCATAATGGATCTTACTACTTTTTTTTTTAATGCTGGGAATAGTAAAATTTAGTGGAGAATAAGTTACCATGATTTAGAAAACTTTACTATAATAATTTATGTATTTAAATCACAAATCTTTGACATTATTAATTCATTTGAAACTAAACAGCTGATCGACAAATCAAACAAATCATCTACTTCATGTGAATAATGTTATTACACAAACATAAAATGTTTTAAAAATCTTTAACTACCCTACAACCTTGCTCGCTGCCTATAACATACTTGAACTTGAACACTTATTAATCTACTAAATATAATACACATACAGCTAGAAAATGGCTGGACTGCTTCCCTTCCGAGGCTTCATTATTACTGTTTAATTTTTGTCGTCGAGTCAATATATAATACGATGAATTTGTTTTCTAAATTCATATGTTATTTTGCGGGGCATTGAGCCGCACAGGTTCACTAGTAAGGTATTTAAACCACTATCACTAGTCCATATATTATTCTTTGTTTAACTTTAACTACGCCCGTTTATGTGTTTCCTTTGAAAGTGAATGATCATAGATTTAATTTTTTAATTTCAAGATTCAAGATCTTTATTTGTCACTAAGCAATACAAGTATTACAATAGACATCGTCAAAGTTGTGTTTTTTTTTTTAATAATACATTTTAAGATTAGTGGATGTGGGTACAAATAGTGAATGATTCATGAATATAATTTTATTCTGATATTCATATATTAATGATTTTTTTCTAATCTGGCCAAACACATAAAAGTTTGACACTCATTCATATTCCCTCACCTGATCTGATACATTATCAGTTGCTTAATTTTTTTTTTGTCTTGATATGTACATATTTAGTTATTAAGGCCTATTATTTTTGTATAATATTGAAAGTATTTTTGATTGTTTGTTTAACGATTGATGTAGGCCTACTAAGATTATTCTGTACCTTGACTGAGTCTCAAAACTGTACTTTGACCATAATTTTGACTTTGCTGATATCTAATGTATCCATATTGCAAATAAAGATTTAGGCCTACTTCTATTATTATTATTATTATTGTGAAAATGTTGGTTGTTGCCATACTTAGCAAACTTCATTCTCAATAGATACATTTCAAGGCCAATCTCCAATGTAATCGCTCATCTGTTTTTCACAAAGACACGTGGCCAACCCTTTTTTTCATTGAAACACAGATCAAGGCATAAATATGCCATATAAATATATAATTAATTTCCTTGTTGATGAAACGCCTTGTTTCAGTGGCAGAAGCAAACATTTTAATAGTTGCATTATTAGTTGGCAACACCACCAGTTTACCAGTTACCAGTTTGTATTGGAACAGGAATGTGGGAACGAGTGGGCGCAGCGTGGAGCCCCGTGGGAGATGAATCTACGTGATGTGACACGTTGGGCTCAAGCCATGGGTGAAAGAAAGCCCCATCCTGAGAGATATGTTCAGCTTGTGTACGCTGACAGGATGCGGACTGCGGTGGACAAGCAGAAGGTGACTTATTTTTGATAGTTCATAGCTCTGAAATGATGAATACTGTTAACTGTATTATGTTTCTTATCAAGAAGGTTTTAGGCCAGAGTATTTTTACCCACTGTTACTTTGGGTGACGTAGCTCAGGAATAAATCTCAGCACTCACTTACAAAACCCAACTTTATTATTACCCAAAACAATACAAAGATAAGTAACAATCGTAAAAGTAGAGTAGACTGGCACTATAAATCATTTAGTTAGAAACTGAAACCCCAGTTTGGAAAATATTCTAAACCTCAATTTGAAAACATTTAACATTGTCTTACCTGGATGGGCCTTCGGCACCCCCAGTAGGACCATGATGTCCTCCAGTAAACCAAACTCACCACTACACACAAAACTGACCCCATGATCAACACTAGCCTACTTAAAGCAACAGCCTTCAGTATGTCAGCACAACAAGTTATTGTTTAACAATACTTCCAGCCTTCTCGCACAACATTGCCAAACATTTCCTCTTCACAAACTCTTACCCCTCCTATTACATCCCCTCATTTCCTCCAGACAATGGCCCTAGTGTCTCAACTACATATAGATACTTCCACAAAAAGAGAAAAAAACATTTATAATAAAAACTGATTAAAATCTTTAAAATTGTAACAAAAGAAATTTATAATAAGACTTAGGAGGTAAAGAGCTGACCAACTGTTCGCTGTCTTCCTCAGTAGTTACATTGATAAAGCCTCCTCGAAGAGTCGTTGGTCTTCAGATGCTTGACCACAGCCATGTGTTCTGCGACATCTCCCACTTTGGTGTCTGTAGTCCGTACTTCACCCAGCGTTCCTTGACAGCATTGATGATGAATCGACTTTGGTTGACGATGATGTTGGCTGATTTTGCCATTGATATCCCATTTGATTGATTGTGCTGAAGCTTGGAGTTCTCCTCTTCTTCGTTCTCCTCTTCTTCAAAGCACTTGCCCCCAGCTGCATTTTTTTGGCTGCCAGTGAGATTGATGAAAGTCTCCTCCTCTTTACCACAATATTGAAAACACGGCAAATCATGAAGTTGTGACGTAAATTTCCTGACGGTAAAACGTAGAATGGTAACGTAGGAATTTACGCCACCCTAACGATACAAAGTCCCAGGAATCGCACGAGTCGGGTTGCGGAGATTTTTCCAGGGGTCTATAGTGATTAGGATAGTCTCAAATTGATAGCCTCGGTTATCAGAGCTCGTAACAAACCTAGCGGGTTACCAGACACCACACTTTTAAACACTGCTCTAGTTAGGGGAGTTTGTGTGGAATAGATAATTCTGACGGGACTCTGTGGGTAATAACTACTTGACAAGCTACCAACTACTTAATTAAGCAAACAGTAACCTAAGTAGTCACCCTGCTTACCTACAGGGTTAAGGTACACGTGATAACCTGAAACAGACAAGATTAGCTTAAGATAGGCCTATCCTAGTCCCACAGAGTCTGAATTTACAAAAAAAAAACAAGCTGCTTTAAGTTGTCCTTGTGAACGAAACGAGAAAATAGAAACGAAAAATAAAACTGCTTCTTGAGTTTAAAACAATACTAAAACTCGTACTTTCTCACGTGGTCAACTTAAGCAAACTTCTGCAATACTAGACCAGCAGAAACCTGTCTGCCGGGGCAAACTTAGGGACGTTCAACGAAGAAGAAGGTACCAATATCGGTTAAGACACGTTAATTTAAAAAAAAATAAGTCACCAACTCTAGTTGGTTAAAATATTGTATGACTAGGTCTGAGAGTCAGACATAGCCTTCAAATTTCAACAGAGTTTTGCTGAAACAAAACTGGCAGAGAAATATTCAAAAGCCTAAGTTGTTTGTTACACAACTTACCAAACGACAAAATAAAATATAAACGACGTACACGTTCACATCCAAACTATAAATCTAAACTCAAGCTTTCAGAGCTTGAGACGAATTATTGAGACGACGACGAACTTGTAAAACAGTACTTCGAATTCTAGCCGGGACGAGACTGACAGTCAAAAACCTCACCTATGTCACAATTTGAGACGAAGGTTAAATCACTCGCTGATTGGTCAACGAGTTACAGAAACAGAAAAAGAACTGGCAGCAAAGGCAGGCGCAAGACGCTGATTCAAGCAGCGAAATCACTGAGAAGTTGGCATGTCCTCCTTTTTTTTCTCCTAGAGCCTGTCCCAACAACCAAACAACCATACACTGACACTCACGTCGTCTGCGGTCGTGGATTTAGAGGTTAGGTATGATGTCAGTTAAGTGTCGCGACTAGGGCTCCACAACTGCTTATACATCTAGCTGTTTAAGTTTCGTGGTTTAACCGTTATTTAACCCCCCTACACATTTGGCCCGTTAAAAAGTTCTCGTAGCTTTGTCTACAGTTGGTCAGTGGGGATGGGTAAATAGGAAGCCAACTCAAACGTACAACCTACAAACACAAAAATCTATAAGAATTTAAGAAACAATTTAGATTCTCAAAGAAATTCTCAAACTCACATTAAGAACAAAGAACAAAACAAAACGAAACTGACATAAAAGATAATATATATTATTGAAACCAAGAGAAGTGTTTGGAGTACGCCTTAACAAATCAGATACGATTGAATAAGAAAACATTATACAATTTCAGATTGATTTCCATTAAATTCATCTATAATGAATGACCATTTTTTAAATCATTTGAAAAACAATGACAAGTTAAACCGTTGTCTCTCATTTATGCTACTTTGCAATCAAGTATGAATGAAAAACAAAATGGTAAATTTGTCTCTATTAAAGTCCCTGATAATTTAAAATCTACAATCAAAATATGTCTCAGTAAAAAAAAAAAAAAAAAAAAAAAAAAAAAAACTATACATAATCTGCATAGACTTCAAAGTTTGCCAAACTCTTAATTTCCTAGTGTTGAAGATTGCATGTATAATTCTCTCAGAAAAATTCAAAAACAAAATTGCTGGAGAAATGATTTGGGACTAAATTGTTACAAAGTACAAACTAACCCTTAAGCAAAACCAATACCCCTTTTACAACATTTCCAACAATCTATCTCATGTAAAAACAAAAAAATTGTTCCCAAAATGAAACATTCATGCGTTGCTGATTTCCCAAAGCAAACTCTAGCATTAGTACGAGATTATTGCAATCCAGTTATGCCGAACATTTAATATCGGAATAGCACAGCTACACATATCTATTGTTAAGAACATGGAAATAGTTGAAGTATTACCAAAAAGGTTTTAAGATTGATGTTAAAGAAGAATTCACCATCTTCAAAGCTAAAAAACTTGACCCATGTAACATGTTAAATGATCAGACTTCTTTCTAGTCAAATATTATATTTGATATTGTATTAATAGTCAAAGATTTGATACAAATATTGACAAGTTACAAATCAAATAAAAGTAATGATAAAAACAAACTGAAATACAGGTGGCACTGGAGAGAAGAATAAACATCATGATTCAGTCAGTTTTATTTAGCCAGTGGCAGTGATAAGACAGTGCTGGCCAGCCTGTACAGTTATTTTTTATCAGTTTTATCCAATTTTATTCCATATTAATTTTTTTATCAACATGACAAGTTTTAATTATTGTGATTGTGGCAGTCTTTTAAAGGATCTAGTGACATACACAATGTATCAATACATTGATGATGTGGTTGATTGGTTGCATACAAAATGACCTGATGAAGTTCTAAGGAACAAAACTAGTCGTTGGATAAGGTACAGTACTCATTTTATTTTATCAATAGTATATTCCAATCCAACCAAGGGTCACAATGAATAATATAATTAAAATTGGGATTTCTCATCTCATGTTTCATGTGGCAAGAAAATAATGTTAGCTTACTCTCCACATTGTCATGTTATAACATATAAATCATAGCTGAATTGTACTATTTACATGTTGTGCTAATTGTGTTTGTGTCCAGGTGTTAGAGTTATACACACAAGAGTTGGGAAGCAGTTATCCTTTGTCTATGAAGGAATCAGAATTGATTGTCACTCCCAGTGAGGTCATGATCGGAGATGTTATTCTTCCCAGGCAATGCAGCTCCGAGGCAGTTGACACCTCTTCACAAAATCTGGTATGAGCAAACCTCTTGGATATACACGTTACTTAAGGCTAGGCCAAGATTGTTGTGGCATTGACCAGCTTGCTCTCGTTGGGGGAAAGGAAAGCCAAGTGTCTAGTTAGTTATTAGAATTTTTTAATGGTTGGAGTTCAGCTAGCCTACCATAGAAAGTTAAGAGTTGAGGATAAGAAACATAACAAATGTCACTAAACATAACACTGATATTTTGTCTTTATAGTAGATTAGAGAGAAATATCAGTAGAAATCCAAAACGGCGACTTAGATGTGTAGCCCATCACCACATTTTGCTGCAAGGTGGTTTTGTACTGCTAAACCCACGCAGTACATTGAATCTAACCTACGAGCGCTAGTGTCATCATGTGTTTATAGTAGCGATCGACACGTTTGACTGACGGTGGCATGTTAGCTCAGTTGGCTTAGGCGTTGCACCGACATGTTTAGCGTTGAAGTCTTTTTACATACACGGTTTCAAATCCTATACATGTTCAATCCTTAGTAAGCTTACTAATGTGTGGCTTAGGCTTAGTTCAAGTGGAGGTTGCACCTGGATAAAACAATGTCTGCATTGGGTGGAAATGATGGAATTAGTGAGATTAAAAAGGATTGCACCCAGCAATTGTTTTTCTTCTTTTTACATTAGTATAGTAGTCCAGGCAAATTAGATCAAACATAGGGAGTGCTCCCCGAAAAATCGTCTAAAGCTGGAAAGTGTTTTAATACCTTTTGTGGGTCCCAAATAAGAGTCCTGTGAGTTTGCGACGGATTCTGACGTCTGCTTAAGTTTTGGGAGTCGAAAACCTATGAAAATTTTGCACTTTTTCAGTTTTTTCGCTTATAACTCCTAAATAATGAATCCTACGGAAAATGTTGTTCGAAGGTCTCTTTTAGTGCATTAAATTCGGCGTCGATTGGTGTTAAATACGTCAAAATCGGCCGAGCCGTTTAGCCGCTGTAGCTTTTTAAAGTTGGACCATTTTCATTTTCATCAACATGGCCAAAAAGTTGATCATTTGACCAGTTTTCGGCTTACAAATCCTAATCGACGCTTGCTATACAAAAATGCACCTGTAGTTAGTTTGGAAAAGACAGCATTCTGCGTAATATGTTTTTTTACTAATCAATAATGGCAATTGATTGCTGCCTACTTTGTATGGTCGCCATTTCATTGAAAAAAATATTAAAGTTAAAGTTGGAAAATTTTACTAAAATTAATATTTATTAATAATATTTTTTTCAATGAAATGGCGACCAAACTAACTACAGGTGCATTTTTGTATAGCAAGCGTCGATTAGGAGTTTTAAGCCGAAAACTGGTCAAATGATCAACTTTTTGGCCATGTTGATGAAAATGAAAATGGTCCAACTTTAAAAAGCTACAGCGGCTAAACGGCTCGGCCTATTTTGACGTATTTATAACACCAATCGACACCGAATTTAATGCACTAAAAGAGACTTTCGAACAACATTTTCCGTAGGATTTGTTATTTAGGAGTTATAAGCGAAAAACTGAAAAAAGTGCAAAATTTTCATAGTTTTTCGACTCCCAAAACTTAAGCAGACGTCAGAATCCGTCGCAAACTCACAGGACTCTTATTTGGGACCCCCAAAAGGTATTAAAACACTTTCCAACCAGCTTTAGACGATTTTTTGGGGAGCATATGTCTAATTTGCCTGGGCTATAGAGGAAGAGGACAAGAATTTTTCTTTTCTGAATTTCATTTTAGTAAAATACCCCCACCGCATCAAACCTGCCAACTAAGCAAATTTCCATTTGCCTGAATTTATTTTCAATTAAATCTATTTAAATAATATTAGTGTTAGGCTTAGAAATTACGTAGGTTTGTTGCTACAGGGAAACTGATAAAGTGTATTTTTTAGTAAAATATTAATAGCTTGGTATAAAATAAATAAATTTAAGTTTGATCAAAATATATCCAAAAACAAGCGAACAACATTTTACAATATTCTCTGTAAGAATAACATGGGAGTTTCAAATTTACAACTTTATGAATTTACTCCGTTACTAATAACCGTACTGACAAGTAACATGTGTTTTATTTAATTGCATGTTCACATATTATTTCAGGGTGTCCGTTGACCGGGAAACCCAGGAAAACCGGGAATTATACGGGAATATTATGACACCAGCATGGTGTCTACTCTCCGGGAAATTCGGGAAAACCGGGAAAACTCCGGGAACTTTATCTTTCCTTGAAATGTCCTGGAAAACTCCAGGAATCCACCCGAACCTCCGGGAATCCACAACCCGGTCATCGGAATCGTCAGCTAACCAAACACTATTGCTTTTGTTGCCGAAATCGCGGGAGACGATTATCGGTGTCGCCGAAACGGCAAGATATCCTCACGGGTATTGCCGCGATCGCGAGAGACGATTATCGGTGTCGCCGAAACGGCAAGATATCCTCACGGGTATTGCCGCGATCGCGAGAGACGATTATCGGTGTCGCCGAAACCGCAGGATATGCTCACGGGTATTGCCGCGATCGCGGGAGACGATTATCGGTGTTGCCGAAACCGCGATATATGGTCTCGGGTATTGCCACGATCGCGGGAGACGGTTATCGGTGTCGCCGAAACCGCAGGATATGCTCACGGGTATTGCAGGATATGCTCACGGGTATTGCCGCGATCGCGGGAGACGATTATCGGTGTTGCCGAAACCGCAGGATATGCTCACGGGTATTGCCGCGATCGCGGAAGACGATTATCGGTGTTGCCGAAACCGCAGGATATGCTCACGGGTATTGCCGTGATCGCGGAAAACGATTATCGGTGTTGCCGAAACCGCGATATATGGTCTCGGGTATTGCCACGATCGCGGGAGACGATTATCGGTGTCGCCGAAACCGCAGGATATGCTCACGGGTATTGCCGCGATCGCGGTAGACGATTATCGGTGTTGCCGAAACCGCAGGATATGCTCACGGGTATTGCCGCGATCGCGGGAGACGATTATCGGTGTTGCCGAAACCGCAGGATATGCTCACGGGTCTTGCCGCGATCGCGGGAGACGATAATCGGTGTTGCCGAAACCGCAGGATATGCTCTTGGGTATTCCTGCGATCGTGGGAGACGATTATCTGTGTCGCTGAAATAATAAAATATGCGAACCTGTTTTGCCGCGATCGGTTGCCTGTGTTGACGAGACTGCAAGATATGCTCACCGGTATTCCCACGATCGCAGGAGATGATAGCTTGTGTCGCCTTACCTATTAGTTATACTGTTTTATTATGTTGTATAAAATATTTTTCTTTGGAATAGTTTTGTTTTAAATTAAAATAATCATTAAGGGGAGTCGCTACTGAAAAACTACCAATTTTGTAAAAAACTTGATTTTTTTTATTATTTTTTTATCTTGTTCTAAGGATTGTAAGGTTTCAGAAAAACATAACATTTGGTATAATATATATTTTTATCACTGTGAAAAAAATATTTGAAGTGAAGCGTGCACACCTCTTTTGGGGCATCAACTAGGCCTAGTATAAACTTCAACCGCTGTTTTCCGCGACTTTAAAATTTTGTTTTTTTTTATATATAAGTTCTTATAACTTCTTAACTATTACAGCTATATGAATGAAATTTTTACCACACATTGTTTATACTATAAATCAACTTTCTGTGCATGGATATTGTAATTGGGTAAATAAAAGTACATGAAAAAAAATTTATAAAAATTTATAACCTATAAATTTTTATAAAACTTATTTTTGAAGCCATAACTTATAAATTAATTGAGAAAATAACATGAGCATGCACAGAAAGTATGTGCTTTCTTTGCTCTTTAAAATAAGAGATCGAACAATAAAATTGATTCAGTAGTTAAATAGTTATAAGAGATTTAAAAAAACCCCATTTTTTCCCGCCAAAAAACTTAAAAAAACTCCAAAAAGTATGTAAAATTTTTTTTTTTACTTTAACGGCAGTAAATCTTTTTCTAAGACTAAATGAACTTAAAAAAGTATATATGATAATTTTTAAAAGGATTTTATTAAAAATCACTAGTTTCAGTAGTGACTCCCCTTAATAGTAATAATAAATTATTATTAGCGGGTTGCAATTAGTTTAACGGGTTCCGATAGTAGTTCTTAAAATTCAGGAATTTGTCTTGAATTCTCCTGGAAAACTCCTTGAATTTTTTAAACCAGGTTTAGTAGACACCATGACCAGGAACTATGTGGGAATTGTACAAAAATTCTGTAATTTTGGCAGTAATATGAGGGAATTTTTCAGGGACTAATTTTTTATTTTAAATATTCAACAGTTATTGAGAGTTGAACAGAACACATGTAAAATTTGTCTCCCACCGGAAAAGTTTATTAGCCTAAAAAAAGCTAAATCAGCATGTTACGTAGACAACAGGCTACAAACCCCATTTTCTTGAAGCCATCCAGCCCAGGACCAGGATTCGGGCTACTTACTATATCAGAGTTTGGTCTCTGAATGACGACGCGACGCGTGAATGAATACAACAACTCATAACTTCATGTGTAGTGTCTTGTGGCAAGGGACTGGCATCTGTGGTCTAATGACTCGGCTGTCTGCTACGCTTATCTAGATTGACAACTCAGTCAAGGAATTTAGTTTTTTAGTTCTTATTGTTTAGAAATGTCCAATACTTCTGGGATTTTGCGATAATTTTAAATATATTAGATGTTAATAACCAATCATACTAATTAATGTATGATTTGTACTTTGTCAAGATATCCAAACTTATTTTTATATGTTGGAAGGGACAAAATCTCAAAGTGATTGTATTAGGCCTAATAATTTCACAATTTCATCCGTTGACAAAAGATGCGGTGTCTATTCTTAATTAATCAATTTTGTGTGTCTAGTGTGTGAATGTAATGTGTAATAGTTGTTAATTAATCCTACACTCTATGAAGTATTTTAAGGCTTAGTTAAATCAGCTGACAAAATTATTTAATTCCTTTTAAATGTGGATACGCGTAAGGTTAACATGGGAAAC